AGTGAACAAGGAAACATTACAACAGATACCAAAGAAATTCAGGATACTATAAGGGAATATTTTGTAACCTTGTCCTCCATTAAGTTAAAAAACATAGGAGAAACACATGAATTTCTATATTCAGCCAAACAATCAAAATTAACCAAGTAGTCAACAACCTAACCAGACCCATAACAAGCAAGGAATTTGAAATAGTAATGAAAATGCCTCCAAGATTAAAAAAAAAGTTCAGAAGCAGATGTATTGATAGCAGTAGTCCACCAAACATTTAAAGAAGATGTACAGCTAGTCTTTGTTAAACAATGGAAGAAAATAGAATGAGAAGGAGAACTCCAAAACTCCTTCTTTGAAGCTAATGCTGTTCTAATAACCAAACCTACAATAACAACAACAAAAATAATAAAAGTACAAGACAATATCCCTGATGAAATTGGACTAAAAAATACCCAATAAAATATTTGCCAAGAGAATACAGACATACATTTTAAAAAAGATTATAATCCACAACCACATTGTCTCTATCTCTGAAATACAGGGAAGCTTTAAAATACCCAAGACGAGTAATGTAACAAAACCCACAAGTGGACAAAAAGCACATGATCATCTCATAGACATAGAAATGCCTTTAACAATAATACAACTTGTCCTCATGATAAAAGTCCTAGAGAATGTTGGGCTAGCAGGAACACAACTCAACACAATAAAGACTATACATGAGAAGCCCACAGTAAACATCATCTTATATGAGGCAAAACTTTGATGTCAGGAATGAGAAAGTAATATCTACTAACCCCATGCCTATCCAACATGGATTGGAATAATTAACATTGTGACAGTGACTATTATACAAAAGCTACTTAGGGATTTAGTGCAATTCTAATCAATATCCCATCTCATTATACACAGAAAGAAAAAAAGAATATCCTTAAACTTACATCAAATCACAAATGAACTGAATAGTAAAAAAAAATCATGAGCAACAGTAGCATGTTTGCGGAGGTTACAATTTCAGATATTAAGGTATTTTGCTGAGCCATAGTAATAAAAGCAACATGGTACTTCATAAAAATAGATATGCAGACCAATGGAACAAAATTGAAGGCCCACATGAGCACATGTAACTTTTACCACTTAATAGTTGACAAAATGACAAAAAAACATTTGATGGAGAGGAAAAGACATCTTCAACCATTTGTGCCAGTAAAACTAGATATTCATGTGCAGAAGAACAGAAATAGACCTGTATCTACAACCTAGTACAGAAACTATCTCCAAGTAGATCAAAGACCTAAATGTAAAACCAAAAACAGTGAAACTGCTAGAAGAAATTATATGCAATATCTTACATGATGTAGGGGAAAGGACTTTCTGATAGGATTACATTTGTCTGTGCATTAAGGCCAATAATTGAAAAGTGGGAATTTATGAAACTAAAATTCTGCACAGTTAAGAAACAACAACAGTATGAAAAGGCAGCCCACATAATGGGAAAGAATCTTTGCCAGATATGTATCTGATAGGATTAATATCTAGAATACACAAATAACTAAAAAATAAAAATATTAAAAATAAAAAATATTTGAAAAATCTACCTGGGATGTTAATAGAGAGTTCACAAAAGAAACAAAAACAAAAAAAAGGATTTAAAAAGTATAGAAAGACGTGTTAACTATCCCTACAAATTAGAGAAATATAAATCAAAACAACTTGGGATTTCATCTTACCCTAGTCAGAAGGCAAATATCCATGGAAGAACTGACAATAAATGCTGGAGGGGATGCAGGGAAAGACAAGACTCCTTCCCTATGGTTGGGCTTGCAAATTGGTGCAGCCACCACTAAATCAGTTTGGATAATTATCATAGAGCTAAAACTTAATATCCCATATAACCCAGCCATACCACACCTCAGACTATGCCCAAAAGACTGCATATCTATCTCCACATAAACTTGTTCTGTCATGTTTGTTGTTGCTTTGTTCAAAATAGGTAGGAAGTAAAAACAATCTAAATGTTGAACAACCAATGAATGGATAATGAACATGTGGTACAGATACACTAAGAGATGCTATTCAATTATAAAGAAAAATGAAATCAGTAACATTACAAGTAAATAGATGGAACTAGAAAAGATCATATTGAGTGACATAACCCAGATCCGGAAGACTAACATGTCTCTTATTAAAGGTTCCTAATTCTAAATATCTAGTTGGGGTTCACAGTTCATAATATCAACAGAAACTAGGAAAGTGAAATGGGGTCATTCCCAAGCTAGGGGAATTTGGAACAATAGCAATAATTAGTAGGGTTCAGGTTATCTGAACAGGGAAATGGGGAAAATGGGGGCTCATGAGGTAGGGGAGGGATTTAAATACAGAAGTGGGGGAAGGGTAAGAGAGACTATCAGGGTTCAGGCAACCTGATAGGAGAAATGGAAAATAGGAAGTTCTTTAAAGAAGGGGAGAGAAATAAATACAAGAAAAGTGGGTAGAGTAACTGTAAGGGTGTCTGAAAATGCCAGAAGGAATCATATTATTAACTATTTACCTAGAAAATAACTCCTATAATGCAATAGATACTGATATATAGATACAAATAGTTTTAATATACCATAGTTTATTCCCATGGGCTGACGGTGCTTCCTCCAAGGGCCAAGAACCTCCTACATAAAACCCTTAATGCCATACATGAGAAGCCCTCTTTTGAGTTTGTGACCAGGACTATCCAAGAGACTCCCAAAACATACAGCCCATTTCTGTTGCCCTTGGTTACCCCACAAAGGTGGTGAGTTTCTACTGCAGGTGGCACCAGTCACTTCAGACACAGGGCCCAGAAACCACTAAGCAAGAACTGACTTGAATGCCCCTTCCAGAGGACTAGCTTTCTTGGTACAAGAGAGTGCCATACAAGTCTCCAAAGGAGGAAAACAACTTAGAGTTCCACCTAGCTGTGCTGCCTATGAACCACATCAACATTCAACAGGGCACAGCAATCCTACAGGTGCAGCAATGGCATATGCGCGCGCGCACGCACACACACACACACACACACACACACACACACACCTTTATGGTACCCAACAGATTTCTTATGGGACTGAAGACAATATTGATACCATGTCTGGTGTTGGAAACCTAGCTAACATACAAAGTGCGAGTTAAGTCATGGTTACTGAAGGAAAATCGGCAACCTCTTTTTTAAGAAACCGGCATAATCCCTAACAACAACCTATAAATAATTGTCCTATACCCACAGATAACTGTAGTCTTCACCCCATATCAAGGAAACTTCTCTTTGCAACAGATAGAGACCACTAAAGGATAGCACAACCAATCAAACTGCAGTTATGAAGTCCAGTCCCCGTGGATACATCTACAAAACGCTTCTGCACCTTAGCCTCAGGGAACACTGAAGAAGAGAAGGCAGAATGATTGCAAAAGCCAAAGTTTGAGGAGTTTTCTGAAAAAATGTATCTTTTGCTGATATCAGAAGTTTTACATATAAAGTCTCACCAACAAGACCATCGAAACATGATGATACTTATGAACATGTCAGAGTGAACAGGGAGCAGCTCATGGGGCCTGAACCCTGCACGGAGAGGTATAGGAAAGTGAGGAAATCTGGATACGATAGAGGGGGCCTTACCCATGGAAGAACACATCAACTGGTTGTCCAGAACCAAATGGTCACCTCTGGAAACATACATAAAAATAAAATTATATGAACTTGATAGGTAGGAATACGTATGTATATACATATACTTGTAAACATGCAACAACAATTAGTAAAAAATGATTGAGGCCCATGGATTTGAAGGAATGTGGGAAGGAGTACATGGGAGAGTTTGGAGAGAGGAAAGGGAAGGAAGAAATTTTGTGGTGAAATCATAATCTCAAAAATAATAATTAAAAAATACAATAACATCTGAACTAGAAATATCAGGACGGTAGACCAAGCTGCAACTTTTGTTTCCTATCCCATCCAGGGTGCTGTGTGCCCCTGCTCCAGAGAAGCAAGTCCATTCCCCCCACATCTGATAACCATGAGAGGGAAACATGGCTCCCTTCTTAAATGTTAAAACAGAGAGGATGCAATTGTCATGGGCTACTGGTACATCACCAACAGAAGAAAAAATGTGAAAGATGCATAAGCAAAGTGACCACAGATTTAGCTATTTAATGCCTTAGGACATAAAGTTACCCATAAAGACAATAAAACAATCCTAAAATGACATCCAAACAATTACATGAGGACGACTATGAACATGACAACAAGAAATTGGAAGGGCGTACAGCATTGTCACATTTAATCCCGGTGTTTTCTTAGAAGACTCCAGGAAGGAAATTCATGTTTTAAACAGGTGGAGCTTAACCTAAACGCTGAGAGAATCCTGGTGTGGGCAAAGGCAGAAAGTGAAGTCTATTGTGTAGACTGAGTTCAGAGAGCAAGTCAGGTTGTGTTAGGAGGAAATGTTTTAAGGGTGAAGGGGAATCATTTTCAAAAGTTCAGATCACTGCATAGAGTTCGATAACTTAGGTTTTTCTTCACTTGTCCTGGAATTCTGAAGTCTATGAGTAATTTTTATGCAATGTGACTTCTCCCCCGAAAAACCTCATTTTAAAAAATGTCTTAAAATTGGAATTTACTGACCGGGTTGGTGGCACACGCCTTTAATCCCAGCACTCCGCAGGAAGAGAGGCAAGCGGATCTATGTTAATTCAAAACCAGCCTGGTCTACTGATCAACTTCCTTGATAGGCTCCAAAACAATACAGAAACACTCTGTCTCGAAAAATCAAAAATAAAAATTTGCATTTATTTAAAACTGAGAAAATCCGTCCTTCCAACTAGCAGTGTTTCTCATCCAACCCAAGAGTTTATTATTTACATGTCTTGTAGCAAATATCGCCATAGTTAACTATTTACTCTCTGGCCACCAGGTGGCGGAGCGCCCTAATACTATATATATATAGTATTTCCTGTATGAATTTAAGTTTAAGCCTCACTGTTACTTTTTTCAACATGCTAAGCATCTAGAACATTGTCTAGATGCCACTAAAGATGGACTCTTCCCTAGGCTTCGGGACTGTGATACTCCTCATACTCGGTAAGTAAGGGCTTTAAACTTTTCACTGTTTTATGCCAGAAAATCTTGAGCTCTAAAATCTTCCAAGAGCTTTGGTGATACACATATCTGTTTTGTTTGTGTTTTTGTTTTCCTGCAGCAAGAACCCATGGAGACTCAGTGACACAGACGGAAGGTAAAGTGGCCCTCTCAGAAAAGGACTTTCTTACTATTCACTGCAACTATTCAGCCTCGGGGTACCCAGCACTGTTGTGGTACGTGCAGTATCCCGGAGAAGGTCCACAGCTCCTTTTCAGAGTCTCGAAGGCCAACGAGAAGGGAAGCAGCAGAGGTTTTGAAGCTACTTATGATAGAGAATCCACTTCCTTCCACCTGCAGAAAGCCTCGGTCCAAGAGTCAGACTCGGCTGTGTACTACTGTGCTCTGAGTGACACAGTGGCAGAAACCACAGGGAGAGCTGAACACAAACTCAGTACCAGGGGCCTGGCTGCTGAGCCTTAGGGTCGCTTTGTTTCCTCTGTGCTGTGTGCCTCTCTGTTTCTCTGGTTGGCACACAAATCATACAAATAGCCACAGCAGAAGAACAAGAAGTAGAGTCTTCCATCCTCAACTCTGAATGGGACTAAAGCAGAATCTGACTCAAATGTGCCCCATGGGGAGCCTGAGATCCCCAGTAAGTCTCAACAAGTAAAAAAAAATGAAACAACACCCTGAATCCTGTCTGACCACCATGGATTAAAGCTGGAGGCTTCCTCCCTGTTCTCACTATAAACCACAATTCCTTCCACCTGACAAAACAGTCTGTGCAGGGGTCACACTTGGCACATAATCTGTGCCTCAGAAGCCCACACGTCAGGAGGCTCTGAGGATAACCCAGAAGTGTGTAGATGCTTGGGTGTGAGCAGCCCTGGCAAAATCTGTTTCCTCTCCTGCGCTGTAGGCTGGAAGTCTGCTCCAAGTCCATCAGGTCTCATGCCTCAGCAAGATGCACTGGAGTTCTTGTGTTACTCTACCCTGTGGCATTGAAGGAGATACTGCAATGTGTTCTTTTATTCTCAGACGTATTTCAATTTTTAACCCAATTGCATCCTATGAAAAACACTCCTGAGAAGCATCATTAACCAACATTGTGGTGATACATTATTATGAAAACATTTCTCCCATTAACATTTTTATAGACACACCCCTTTTGTTCAAGGATACTGGAACTTTTGCTGGATCCCAGAGTGGAGCTAATGACATGTCTTGAGGTCACTTAAGACTGCTATCCTGCTGTATGCTCAGCCTGTCTGTTTAATCTAGCATTAAGAGAACAATGAAACCAACCTTACATACCTTGGATTTCCTTCATAATCAAATTTTACAACATAAGCTAATGCACAGCAATAATCTTAAATTGTGTTCTCTTTCATGCCCCTGACCCCATGAATATGTGTGTTTGTGTGTATATTATAACAATCATTTTCTGAAAACAGTAAATAGGTTGAAACAAACCTTATATAACAAATATCTACCATAATACTGGAAGCAGCATGTGGATATTTTTGATAACTGAAGATTGTTTTACTAGTGCCTTGGGGTCAGTTGGAGCAATTAATTTGTGAAACTCTTCTGTAAAGGGTCCCTCAGTCCTCCCCCATATGGTGATTTCTGTGTCATTTAGTAGAAAAGAGTACAAGTCTTTTGTTAGCAACAAACAGATTCACAAGACGGGGTTCATGCCAACAAAGGTGGAAACATATATCACACACAGGTTACAGATAGGCCAGAAACCATAAGCTACAGTGCAACAGAAGACACAGAAAAGCAGTGGAGAATCCAAATCCAGGCTGTTGTTTCCTCGATGTAACAAGACACATGTTGGTAACCACATTTATCACTAATATGTTTAAACAATGCAGGGCATTTCAGTTAATGAAAACTGAACTATTTCAGTTTCTCTTTATAAACATGCCCAGGAAAAGAGTTGAAGGACTGATATGACTTGGAATTTCTTCTTCCTCTTTTATACAGTTGGAATCAGGATTGTGTGGTCTGCTGATTTTAGAGACAGAAATTTCACATTAAGTGAATGAAGCCTTTATTTTACCTCCTCTCAAATACCTCCCCCTCATGGTTGCTTTGTCTTCCTAGGTTCTATGAGGATGCAGCACCATGGAGAGGTTATCTTCCTGTTCAGGGACTTATGCCTACAGTACCTGTCTTTTTTTAATTTAGAAAACTGGATATTCAATCAGTTTTCTATAAATTTATTAGGTAATTTGATTTTTATGATGTTTAACATTTGCAGTTTAAAAGTATATTCAAGATACTAATCCATGAGCTGTTCTGGTGGGACCAGACCAGGAAACCAGAGGATCCAGGGAGACCAGGGGACCAACTGTTCCGGCGGGACCAGGTACAACAGGCCCTGCATCGGGGCCTGTGTTCCAGTGCATGGGTATGCCTGGGAACTGCACAGACCTTCCAATCCCAGAGGAAGCCTAACACCCCAGACTCCAGGACTTCTCTCCCACCAATGAGACCAGGAAATTAGCATATCCAGGGAGACCAGGGGACCAGGTGGGAGGCTAAGCACCCAAGATTATTAGTCTTCTTCTCCACCCACGGGACCAGAACGAGGAAAAGGAATAGAAGAACTACCAGATTATTGGACTTGCTAGCACCCACCAAAAGGGAACTCTGGTCCCCTAACCACCAGACCAGTAAGGGGCTCTTTCTGCACCCACTAGAAGAAGAGATGGGAAAGAGACAATACAAAAACAAATTCAGCAACAGAAAACCATATATGACACCACAAGATTCTAGAGACTCCACACCAGCAAGACTCCAACATTCCAATGCAAATGAAGCAGAAGAGAATGACCTTAAAACCACTTTCATGAAAATGATAGAGGCCCTAAAAGAGTATATGGGAAAATCCCTCAAAGAAATGGGTGAAAAAACAAACCAAAAAATGCAAGAACTGGAAGAGAGAACAAACCTGTTGGGGAAGTCCTGTTATTTGCCTGTGCATTTGTCAATAAAGTACTGTCTGGCCAATAGAAAACCTAGATAGGAGGGACTAGGAGTCGAGGAGGATTCTGGGAAGGGGAAACACAAGAGAGTCAACATGTGATGCCATGGGGGTAGGACGCCGGGAACTATTCTCCGGTAAGAAACATACTTAGATTAACAATTATGGGGTAATTACTTAAGGCAGAGTTAGCCAGTAAGAGACAAACAAGGCCAACAGCTTCATAATTAATATAGCCTCCTGTGTGTTTATTTGGGACTCATGCGGATCTAGAACCAGGCTGGCGCGGCAGAGCCTAGGCGACTGGCGGGGGATAAACCAAAGCGGCTAGCAAAGAAAAAGCTTCTCTTAACACAAACCAAAAAATTCATAAAAGGCAACAAATGGATGAAAAGATAAACTGAAAATTGCAAGAAACAATGCAAACACTGCAAGAGTTGAAAACTGAAATAGAGACAATTAAAAAAAACACAATCTGAAGAAAGGCAGGTGTTAAGAGAAGCTTTTTCCTTGAGTAGGAGCCATTCCGCCAGCCTGGTTCCAGAGCCGCTTTCCCGCCAGCCTGGTTCTAGAGCCGTATCAGTCCCAAATAAACACACAGGAGGCTATATTAATTATGAAGCTGTTGGCCTTGCTTGTTTCTAACTGGCTAGCTCTGACTTAAGTAATTACCCCATAATTGTTAATCTAAGTATGTTTCTTACTGGAGAATAGTTCCAGGCTTCCTACCCCCATGGCGTTACATGTTGACTCTCTTGTGTTTCTCCTTCCCAGAATCCTCCTGGACTCCTAGCCCCACCTATCTAGATTCCTATTGGCCAGCAGTAATTTATTGACATATACACAGGACTTCCCCAACATCTCCTCTTTTCTGTTTAAACAAAAAGAAAGGTCTTAACTTTAACATAGTCAAATTGTATATGACAGAACAGTTATCAAGTAAGAACACAGTTACAACATTTTGTCTATTAACATTTAGCAAGATCTAAAGAAAATATCATCCATCCCATCCTTGTGAGTCTAAAGTTCTATGTAGCTTATCTTTTATCATAACTAAGGAAAACTATAACTATAACTATCTGTCTTCAACTCCATCAAAGACCACAGAAGGATAATATATAATCACTAGGATTGACAAAGACATCTTGCTACCTGGACAGTCACCCAAAGTTCCTCTGTAACGTTGGGGCATCCATCTTCAACCCATAGGCCACAATGTGTCTGGAACACTTCTCAGCAAAGCAGGAAATTTCAAACTGTCCATCTGCATTGGCAGTCTGTCAGTCATTTCTCTGTGTCCTGCAGAAAGTCTCGTAGACTCTTTATGAAGCAGGAACCCTGTAAGACTGAGTTCAGCAGTCACTTTCCTGTGGGTCCTGCATGTCCAGATTATACAACAACAGTCAAACAGTCTAGGCAAGAGCAGTTTCTTGCCCAAATGGCTAATCTTGCCATGTTGAAAGTAAACTCCATAACAAGTTTCTTCGATGCCCATCTTCCTCTCAGACGTAATTGGTGCTGCCAGGAGCAGACATTTTTCATTGTCAATAAAAACCCTAAACCATTTTAAATGCCATTTTCTGAAGGTCTTTGAAAGGTTTGAAGACTATTTATCTGTCTCAAATACATCTCTATATATCTAGAAAACCTAACTTACCTAACTATAAATTCTGTTATAAGTAACTATCTATAGTCTGTATTCAATTATGCATTACATTTTAAAAGATCAGTATAAGCACAATACTTAATCAAGAGGAGAAATAAACACATCACAAAATTGACCTTGAATTTGTATCAATAAATGAAAAACAATACCCATACCATAATTCCCTTTTTACCATTAAAAAAGATTGGCTGTGATCACTAGCCAATCTAAACAATCCCATTTAAATGAAAACAAAGATTTATAAACAAGATGGGAATTAGGACGTCGCTCATTCCAAACTGCTTCCTGCTGGAAGGGGGCGCTGTTCATACCATGGGGATCATGACAAAATTCAGAAACCTGTATAAGTCCGTATTTTCGGGTTCTGTAAAGCTGCATCATCTTAGCTGTTTCGATTGTTGGAACACCTGGTCCACTGCTTCCGGGGGTCTTGGTTCGTCGAACCACAGAAGCCTGGAAGAAATCCTCAGCTTTTTATGTTCTATGGAAACATAAATTAAAACTCCTTTTCCGAGTAACATATCCTTATACTTAAATTTTGAGGTCAAGGCATTTTGAAAAGATAGAAGTTGAATTAATTCAGCAGCATTTATAATCAAGTGTACTTCAGTAGCTGTTCCTTCCTTAGCAATGAAAAAACTGAAAAACATAATAGCGTACAGTATCCAGACTCTCTGCGTATTTTCCATCTTTGTGTGGCTTATTTATTTATCTATTATTACTTTATTTATTTTACTTTTATTTTTCTCTGAGACAGGGTTTCTCTTTGGAAATCCGCCTGCCTCTGCCTCTGCCTCTGGAGGAATCCTACCGGCGTGC